GCAGTGTAGGGGGGGGGGGGGGGGGGACACACGGGTCAGGATTGAGGGTCTCCGGGCTTTACAATACACGCTGTCATGTGATACGCTCCATGTCATGTTTTGTCACGCTCCAGAGAAGCAAGAAACCGGATCATACGAGCAAGGAAGTCCAACTGAACAAAGTGCTGAACATATAATCAGTGTCAATTCAGAGGAGTGAATCCAAGGCGGGATTTTATTTACTGTGTGATAGGTTTGGATGGAGTAGGGGAGGGGCAGATCCCCGGTCAGATTTTACTGCTGTCTGAGGCTCCGTTAGAGAGATTCCCCCTCACTTCCTGTCCTGGTGACACCGTTTTACCAGAGAGGAAGTGACGGAATCTCTTCAACAACAAAACACAAAGAAATAAAAGCACTTTCTTCAGTAGACCTCTGCCGCAGGGGTGAGCAGTGTAGGAAGAGGGATGCAGGGGGTTCAGAGTAGGAAGAGGGATGCAGAGGTGAGAAGAGTAGGAACAGGGATGCAGAGGTGAGCACTGTAGGAAGAGGCATGCATAGTAGGAAGAGGGATGTAGGTGGTGCAGAGTAGGAAGAGGGATGCAGAGGTGAGCACTGTAGAAGGAGGGGTGCAGAGGTGAGTACTATAGGAAAGGGGGTGCCGCGTAGGAAGAGGCATGCAGAACTGAGCAGTGTATGAAGAGGGATGCAGAGGTGAGCACTGTAGGAAGAGGCGAGCCGTTTAGGAAGAGGGATGCAGAGGTGAGACGAGTAGGAAGAGGCCTGTGTGGTGAGCAGTGTAGGAAGAGGGGTGCAGAGGTGAGCAGTGTAGGAAGGGGGATGTAGAGTAGGACGAGGCATGCAAGGGGTGCACAGGTGAGCACTGTAGGAAGAAGGATGCAGGGGGTGCAGAGGTGAGCACTGTAGGAAGAAGCGAGCAGTTTAGGAAGAGGGATGCAGAGGTGAGAAGAGTAGGAAGAGGCCTGTGTGGTGAGCAGTGTAGGAAGAGGGATGCAGGGGGTGCAGAGGTGAGCAGTGTAGGAAGGGGCGAGCTGAGGTGAGCAGCGTAGGAAGAGAGATGCATGGGGTGCAGAGGTGAGAAAAGTAGGAAGAGGGATGTAGGGGTGCAGAGGTGAGTACTGTAGGAAGAAGGGTGCAGAGGTGAGAAGAGTAGGACCAGGGATGCAGGGGGTGCACAGGTGAGCAGAGTAGGAGAGGGGGGTATATTACCTCTTCTATTACAGGGAATGGAGGGGAGGTAGGAGACACGGGACACCGGAGAGGGGAGTATAATACCTCTTCTATTACAGGGAATGGAGGGGAGGAAGGAGACACGGGACACCGGAGAGGGGAGTATAATACCTCTTCTATTACAGGGAATGGAGGGGAGGAAGGAGACACAGGACCCCGGAGAGGGGAGTATAATACCTCTTCTATTACAGAGAACAGAGGGGAGGTAGGACACACGGGACACTGGAGAGGGGAGTATAATACCTCTTCTATTACAGGGAATGGAGGGGAGGAAGGAGACACAGGACCCCGGAGAGGGGAGTATAATACCTCTTCTATTACAGAGAACAGAGGGGAGGTAGGACACACGGGACACTGGAGAGGGGAGTATAATACCTCTTCTATTACAGATAAGAGGGGAGGTAGGACACACGGGACACCGGAGAGGGGAGTATAATACCTCTTCTATTACAGGGAATGGAGGGGAGGTAGGAGACACAGGACACTGGAGAGGGGGGTATAATACCTCTTCTATTACAGAGAACAGAGGGGAGGTAGGACACACGGAACACCGGAGAGGGGGGTATAATACCTCTTCTATTACAGAGAACAGAGGGGAGGTAGGAGACACGGGACACCTGAGAGGGGAGTATAATACCTCTTCTATCACAGAGAACAGAGGGGAGGTAGGAGACACGGGACACCTGAGAGGGGAGTATAATACCTCTTCTATCACAGAGAACAGAGGGGAGGTAGGACACACGGAACACCGGAGAGGGGGGTATAATACCTCTTCTATTACAGAGAACAGAGGGGAGGGAGGACACACGGGACACTGGAGAGGGGAGTATAATACCTCTTCTATTACAGAGAACAGAGGGGAGGAAGGACACACGGGACACTGGAGAGGGGAGTATAATACCTCTTCTATTACAGAGAACAGAGGGGAGGTAGGAGACACGGGACACCTGAGAGGGGAGTATAATACCTCTTCTATCACAGAGAACAGAGGGGAGGTAGGAGACACGGGACACCGGAGAGGGGGGTATAATACCTCTTCTATTACAGAGAACAGAGGGGAGGTAGGACACACGGGACACTGGAGAGGGGAGTATAATACCTCTTCTATTACAGAGAACAGAGGGGAGGTAGCAGGCATGGGACACCGGAGAGGGGGGTACAATACCTCTTCTATTACAGGGAACAGAGGGGAGGAGGAGGAGGCAGGGACACCGGAGAGGGGGTATAATACCTCTTCTATTACAGAGAACAGAGGGGAGGAAGGAGACACAGGACACCGGAGAGGGGGCTATAATACCTCTTCTATTACAGAGAACAGAGGGGAGAGTATTGCAATTTTCATAGAGGAGCCTCATACTTTGCATTTCTCAGACACACATACTATGCCACATTTGGGGTCAGTTTACATCCTACTCCTGATCTGCAGATGGGGAAAGCTACAACTGTCTAATGGGTGGAGGAATTGGCTCCATGTGGTGAGTGAGCGAGCTGTCATATTGTGCCTAACGGTGGAGAGATTGATAGCTACACGTGAGTGTTCAAACATTCCCTGGGACTGAAGGTCACAGTGAAAGCTGTTAAATACCAGCAGCCTTTCCTTAGATATCAAAGTTAACCTTTTCAAAGTTCACGGTGATTGCACCACTTAAAGGAACCCTTTCTTCTGATGGCGTTTACAGAAACCGCTGCCAAACATGAACTATTCAGCTTGTAAACAACTCACAGGTGAACAATTGGTGAGCAACCCCCCCCCTCCCTGAGACCCTAAAATAAGTATTCCCCCTCCTTGCAGGACCATGTTGCCTCTCAGGAAACAGAGAAGGTGGAGCCTGGTTAGCAATCACGTTAAGTACACCTCTGCTGTTCCCATGACAGTCACATGTCACTGATCTGTGCATAGGTCAGTTTTTAGGGTTGCCATTAGTGATGGAGAGAGGAGCTTAGCTGTTGACTTTTGCCCAAACACCAACATTTGCATATGAATAACAAGAAAAAAGGAAGAGTGCTTTTCACACAGTATTATGATGGTTAAATGTTGACCCCAACCAACCATCACACTTTATGAGCTTGGTTGGACATCCTATTACAGAACCAATGATGGAGCTCAGGGGTCTCCAGTCAAGGTTCTGGTAATACTCCATCATACAAAGATGATTGTAGACAATTGTGCTCTTACAGCCTTGTGGTCATAGATTGGTGAAGACCCTTTTCTGTTCCACCATGACTGTTCCCTGTGTACAAAGCCAGCTCCATAAAGACATGGTGTGACCAGTTTGGTGAAGACCCTTTTCTGTTCCACCATGATTGTCCCCTGTGTGCAAAGCCAGCTCCATAAAGGCATCGTGTGGCCAGTTTGGTGTGGAAGAACTTTAATGTCCGGCACAGAACCCTGACCTCAACCCTACTGAACACCTTTGGGATGAATTGGAACACCAATTGTGAATCAGGTCTTCTTAACCAACATCAGTACCTTGTAGACAATGGTGCTCTTCCAGCCTTGTGGTCACAGTTTGGTGAAGACCCTTTTCTGTTCCCCCATGACTGTTCCCTGTGTACAAAGCCAGCTCCATAAAGACATGGTGTGACCAGTTTGGTGAAGACCCTTTCCTGTTCCACCATGACTGTCCCTTGTGTACAAACCCAGCACCATAAAGACATGGTGTGACCAGTTTGATGAGAAGGAACTCGAGTGTCCTGCCCAGAGCCCTGACCTCAACCCTACTGAACACCTTTGAGATGAATTGGAACGCCAATTGTGAGCCAGGTCTTCTCATCCAACATCAGGACCCGACCTCACAAATTGGACAAATTCCTGCAGACATCCTCCAAAATCTGGTGGAAAGCCGTACTAGAAGAATGGAGGATGATATAGCCACAAAGGGAAGCCAAATCCAACAATGGACATAGGGGGAAGGTCAAATCCACATTAATGTCTATGGTTTTGGAACTGGATGTCCAACAAGCTCATACAGGTGTGATGGGTCAGGAGTATGCTGACATTTGACTAAACAGTGTACCTTCTGAAGTAGGAAGGCTCTACTGGTTAAGGGTTTCTCTTAGCCTACTATACTATAATCTCTCTGGTTGTACCCTCTTGCTGGTCCATAAGCCCTGTTCCTTAGGGTTGTGTGCATGCTAGGAGAATGAAAAGGCTCCCTGTACGAATAATTTTTCCTCCAACCCGCCCATACACAGATATCAGGTGAATGGTCCGGTACGCAGCACGTGTAATGCCTTTATATTTGCTGCTTCACTTCACCGACAACACAGCCAATCTACATCATTTTCAGAGAGGATAACAAGGTTCTCCAACAGCCGATACTGAAGAGTAACTCCATCGGGAAAACCCTGCAAGGCCCCAAAACCAGCAGACAGCTCATGCATCTTACCTTCAGGTCGATACTGGGCTGCAATTGTCACCGTCTGTCCAGCTCGTTTCAGTGCCGCTGCAGCTTGCTCATGTGTTGCACTGCGAAGGTTTACTCCATTGACCTGCACAAGGTGACAAAGTCCAACATTACACAACGGAGCTACACCTTTATAGCTGTCACTTATCTCCATAAACAAGGAAAACGTGACTTTGTATACATCTATTTTATGGGAGGGCCACAGAATATATGTCTAGGAGGTTTGGAAATTGGGCAGGGGTTCATATTTTTGGAGAAACTTCAATACCTAGGTGATGATCTCTGTACAGGTCTGGGAACTGAGGAGACCGGTTGGTGGAGTTTCGGGAGAGGAATGTTGTCCTGTTCTTGCCTGATATCAGATTCTAAGTGTTCAGCAGTCCCGGGTCTTCTGTGTCGTATTTTACATTTTAAGATGCACCAAATATTTTTGTGGTGGAAGGTGTGGACTGTGGGTGGGCCAGCTAAGCTCCCGGACTCTTCTAGAAGCCTCGCTGATGTCATAGATGCAGTATGAGGTCCATCATTGTCCTGTATACAAAGCTTCCGAGAAAAAGACGTTGTCTGGATAGGAGCACACACTGCTCTAAGACCCGGATATATCTTTCATCATGATGGAGCCTTTCCAGATGTACCAGCTGCACAACCATATTCACTACTGTACCCCCATACCATCAGAGATGTCCATTCCATGCACACTAATGTACCCCCCATAGCATCAGAGATGTCCATTCCATACACACTAATGTACCCCCATACCATCAGAGATGTCCATTCCATACACACTAATGTACCCCCATACCATCAGAGATGTCCATTCCATACACACTAATGTACCCAATAAAATCAGATGTCCATTCCATACACACTAATGTACCCTCATACCATCAGATATGACCATTCCATACGCACTAATGCACCCCCATACCATCAGAGATACCCATTCCATACACACTAATGTACCACCATACCATCAGAGATGACCATTCCATACACACTAATGCACCCCCATACCATCAGAGATACGCATTCCATACACACTAATGTACACCCCATAGCATCAGAGATGTCCATTCCATACAAACTAATGTACCCCCATACCATCAGAGATGTCCATTCCATACACACTAATGTACCCAATAAAATCAGATGTCCATTCCATACACACTAATGTACCCAATAAAATCAGATGTCCATTCCATACACACTAATGTACCCAATAAAATCAGATGTCCATTCCATACACACTAATGTACCCAATAAAATCAGATGTCCATTCCATACACACTAATGTACCCAATAAAATCAGATGTCCATTCCATACACACTAATGTACCCAATAAAATCAGATGTCCATTCCATACACACTAATGTACCCAATAAAATCAGATGTCCATTCCATACACACTAATGTACCCAATAAAATCAGATGTCCATTCCATACACACTAATGTACCCAATAAAATCAGATGTCCATTCCATACACACTAATGTACCCAATAAAATCAGATGTCCATTCCATACACACTAATGTACCCAATAAAATCAGATGTCCATTCCATACACACTAATGTACCCAATAAAATCAGATGTCCATTCCATACACACTAATGTACCCCCATACCATCAGAGATGCAGATTTTGAACTAAGCGCCGATAATAACCCGGAAGGTCTCTCTCCTCTTTAGTCCGGAGGACGCGACGCTCATGGTTGCCAAAAAAAATGCAAATTTCAATTCATCTGACAGAACAGTTTTCCACTTTGTGACAGGCCATTGTAAATGAGAGAGGACGGCGGCGTTCCTGGATCATGTTCAGATACGGCTTCTTCTTTCCATGATGGAGCTTTAACTTGCAATTTTGGATGGCACGGCGAACTGAGTCCACAGACAGTATTCACTGAGAAGCTTCAACAAGACAATGTAATGGAGCAGTTTTCAATCTTTTTACATCAGCAGCTTTTATTATAATAATCCCGGGTGATCCCTCCAAGAAGGTCCTTGTTCACGCACTTCCTGTTACAGAGTGACAATGGTCTGTCCTTGTTCACGCATTTCCTGTTACAGAGTGACAATGGTCTGTCCTTGTTCAGGCACTTCCTGTTATAGGGTGACAACGCTCTGTCCTTCTTCAGACACTTCCTGTTATAGAGTGACAATGCTCTGTCCTTGATAAGACACTTCCTGCTATAGGGTGACAACGCTCTACCCCTGTCTTCCAGTTGTCCTTCTTCGTTGTCATCCTGGTACACGGACCTGCGATGGAGTCTACATGTGGCCATACCGATGTACATTGTTCAGGCATGTGTCACCATCGGGAAGCAATCCTAAGTAATTACATCACTGTAGAGAGTGCGTGACCCCATCACATATACTGTACATAGTTACTGATTGACTTTTCTTCTACAACTCTAGGAATGTGGAGGTTTTGTAGGGGGGAGCGAAACCACTAGATTGTTCTCAGAACCTCCTGTCCTGACCCAGCACCTCAACTAACCTCATTTGTACAGCTTGGGTTCACATCAACCTGAATCAATGAATACCGAGTTCTGATAACCAGAAGAAGATGGTTTCCCCGTGAGTTATTCTGCTACGGTTGGTGCCATCGATACCTACCCAAGACCAAGCCAAGGTGGGTGGATCTGTCTTTATACATCTGGTCAGCTTGGTGTGCAGTTGGACACTCTGAACGCCTTCTAATGTACACTAGCATCCAGAACTATAGCATATATCATTACTGTTAGAGAGTATCTAAAGCCAAAGCTTTTTTGGGGGGGGAGGGGGGTGAGTGGTAAGAACCCCTACCAGACAGGACAGGATGTGAAATGGCCCTGAGATGCCGGGGAAATGGGGCAGAGACAATAGAAATGCCTCAACTGGGGTCTTCACCATTCTCTACACAATTCAAAATGAAAAAAGAACATCTTTAGATATTCTTTAACTATCAGTTGAACAGTTCTGAAGGTGAACATTCCATAGAGTCAAAAGTTCTACTCACGGACAGAATGCGGTCTCCACGGCGTAGTTCTCCACTGAGGTCTGCCGGTCCTCCGGCCAGGATGAAAGACACGAAGATGCCTTCTCCATCTTCCCCTCCGACAATGTTAAATCCCAGTCCTGTAGATCCTTTGTGTAAAATGATCTTCCTCGGCTCCCTGGAGACGTGACGAAAAGACATGTCTAGCACTTTACGTCAGGTAGATATAAAAACAACAAAAAGCCCACAATGACAAAGGAGGATATCAATAAACAGCGGGAAGAGAACATAAGAAAACGTGTAAAAGCAAACAGGAGCCGTCCCTAGCAGCTGGAGGATCGAATCTCGAAGCGACTAAAGAAAAATATGACATCAGCAGAAAGGATGAAGTCTGTGCAGCATCAACGGCGGGAATTAGATGTAATATGGTTTTGCGCAGCCGGTCTGACTGGTACTATCCAATGAAATCACCTTCTAATGAAACCCTATGAATAGTTTCAGGGCAGGAACCACTGCTGATTGCGACACAACACTAACTCATGTCAGAGGAATCTGCTCTGTGAAGACCTGCTCCTCTCACGGCCAATGCAGGAGACATTCCCTGTACAGTGTTAGTCATACCTGGGATCTTCTGTTTTGTTCCTCAGCCTATGGTCCACCTACAACTCTGCGCTGTGCTGCCTGAGCATGCCATGTTCTCCGGAACAATAAATGAAGACCTGAACCTTTCATTGGCTATCCAAATATACACTATATTGGCAAAAGTATCGGGGCACCCCTCCAAATCACTGGATTCAGGTGTTCCGTGAAATTTCCTTGCTACTAAATACTCCACGGTCACCTGTTAGTGGTTTTATAACAAAGTGGAAGCAACTGGGAACAAAAGCAACTCAGCCACGAAGTGGTAGGCCACATAAAATGACAGAGCGGGGTCAGCGCATGCTGAAGCGCACAGTGCGCAGAAGTCACCAACTGTCTGCAGAGTCAATAGCTACAGACCTCCAGACTTCGTGTGGCCTTCAGATTGGCACAACAACAGTGCGCAGAAAGCTTCATGGAATGGGTTTCCGTGGCCGAGCAGCTGCATCCAAGGACTAGAGAAGTTGAGACGTGTTCTCTGGAGTGACGAATCACGCTTCTCTATCTGGCAATCACATGGACGTGTCTGGGTTTGGCAGTTGCCAGGAGAACGGTACTTGCCTGACTGCATTGTGCCAAGTGTAAAGTTTGGTGGAGGGGGGATTATGGTGTGGGGTTGTTTTTCAGGGGTTGGGCTTGGCCCCTTAGTTCCAGTGAAGGGAACTCTTAAGGCATCAGCATACCAAGACATTTTGGACAATTTCATGCTCCCAACTTTGTGGGAACAGTTTGGGGATGGCCCCTTCCTGTTCCAACATGACTGCGCACCAGTGCACAAAGCAAGATCCATAAAGACATGGATGGGGGAGTTTGAGGTGGAGGAACTTGACTGGCCTGCACAAAGTCCTGACCTCAAGCCGATAGAACACCTTTGGGTTGAATTAGAGCGTAGACTGCGAGCCCGGCCTTCTCGTCCAACATCAGTACCTGACCTCACAAATGGTCCAACATTCCCATAGGCACACTCCTAAACCTTGTGGACGCCTTCCTAGAAGAGTTGAAGCTGTTATAGCTGCAAAGGGCGGAGCCAACCCAATACTGAACCCTACGGACTAAGACTGGGATGCAATTAAAGTTCATGTGCGTGTAAAGGCCTGCGTCCCAATACTTTTGGCACTATAGTGTATCTTGAGGTGCCAGCTTCTTCAGGCACGATTGCATGATCACAGCATGCTTGAGTGAGGAAACAAAGGGGTCCCCAAAGCGTGACACCCAAATATTAAAGTCTTCTGTTTTGTTCCGCAGCCTATGGACCAACTACAACTCTGTGCTGTGCTGCCTGGGCTTGCCATGTTCTCCAGAACAATACATGAAGACCTGAACCTTTCATTGGCTATCCGAATGTATCTTGAGGTGCCAGCTTCTTCAGGCATCTCAGCATGCTTGAGTGAGGAAACTAAGGGGCCCCCATAGCATGACACCCAAATATTAAAGTATTATACGTGATATGTTTTTTTAAAATTTGCACTAACGATTCATTTTTCAGAAGGTCTCCCCTGTTCTAGAGCCAAGCAATACCTTGGATGTAGAAACATGAACCGTTAGCAGGAATTTAAAGAAGCCTCACACTCAGTACCCAAAAATAAATTCATTTGCCAACGAAAGGGATCACCTACGTTTAGCGCTGTCTACGGCCAACATGGTACAATGCCCCACCGCTCGTCTTCTTCCTACCTCTCTCGGCTTGTCCTTAGTGGCACTTGCCACTTTGAATGGGCAATGTTGGGTGCCCTCCGGTACGACATCGATGAGGAGACGTTCACAGTGAACATGAAGGCGGTTCCCCCGAATATACTGCCTCCGAATATTCTGTCCCTCTGCTCCCACCAAGCCTTTCTCTTGTGACCTTTGCACCTTGGTAGGCCTCCTCAGGGTTCTCCTGCTGTCGCAGCTTCTGCTGGCCCCTCTCTGATCTACCTTCAGCCCCTCGTTGCTGCCTGCATGGATCTAATTCTCATCTGCGTCTGAACACTTCTTTGCTTTTCCTTTCTGACACATTCTTTTTCACAAAGCAGGGTGTTGCTGACACCTTTTTTTTTTTCCCTCTTGTGTCTCACTGGTTTTAACCTTTTGTTGGGAGCGCTTGTGTTTAACAACGAGCAAATCCTGCCGGAGCTTTCGTAATCCCCATGGCCTCATGAAAATGACAGCAGTGGCTTGAACAAGGCCCATTATATTTTAGGTGGTTTGTCAAGGAGCCAAGTGACACCTCAAGAGCAGCAAGCTATAATACCTGAGTTACAAGCTTCTGCTGAATAGTTGACATTCCCATCATTCCGAGGGAGCTGATTGTCAGCTAGTTACGGGTCTGGGATGGATCATGACACCGACTCACATGACAAACTGGCTTTTCCCAACCAAGCTGCTGTTTTATGAAGGGCTGGAATGACAGCTGACTAATTTGTCACTTGCACCTCCCTAGGTAATTAAACTCCCATGTCATTCTTCCTTGAAGCAGCTTTTGTTCCTTCAGAGTTCAACTTCGTCCTGCAGACCCAACACTTGTACTCTTGTCCCTGGCTCCATACTGTTCCCATTGTGCGTGCGCTCTCAATGTTCCCCGCACTCCCTGCCTCCCCTCCCCTGTCTTCTACAAGATGAGTCAGACTGCGGATATTTTCGTTTATCTTTGCCCAGTAACCCATCTGAAGTATTTTGTACATTCTCATCTAATAACAGGTTGGGAAGCTCTTCGATTACAGTTCTCTATCTGCTGGACTTAGATTTAGGAATCAAATTAAATGGAAATCCTAACTAAGTGACATTAAGTTCTGTGCACCGCGCTTCTACGCAATTGCGGCTGCGCTTCTGCGTTTCTCCTGCGTTGTTGTGGTTGATGATGACATCCCCATGTCTGGCACCTGCTTCCAAGCCCCTATCCTATGCACTTATCTTCAGTCTTGTTTGTATTCACTTCCTATGTGCCGGCCTTGGCTTCCTGTTTGGATTTGCTTATCTGCGACCTGTCCTGACCCCTGGCCTGAATTCTGGGTTTCCTTCATTGCTGCCATGTTACAGCCTGCTCCGTTGAGATCCACAATCTGGCTGCCTGCTCCAGTTTGCATCCAGTACACTCCTGTGCTGGGGTCCGTGGTCCTGCTGCTTGGTCTGGCTCACTAATTATCCAGTATGCTCTTGGTCCCGCTGCCTGGTCTAGTCCGCTGTTTCATCCTGTTCACTCCTGTTCTGCGTTCCAGCCTGCTTCATTGTACTCTGCAATCATAACTCCCTCTCCGCAGCACGGGGTCTGGTCTACACTGCTGCCACTAAAACCCCCGTGCTTTCTTCTGCTTCAAATTCCCACAGACAAACTCCAAAACCTTGTGGATAGATTAATGGCCATGGTGGGGGGCAACTCCATATTAATGGCCATGGAGTGGGGGGAAGGGGGTGCAACTTCATATTAATGACCACAGAAGGGGGCGGGGGCAACTCCATATTAATGACCATGGAGGGGGCCAATTCCATATTAATGGCCATGGAGGGGCCAACTCCATCTCCATATTAATGGCCATGGAGGGGCTAACTTCATATTAATAGCCATGGGGGGGCAACTCCATATTAATGGCCATGGACAGGCACACTTCATATTAATGGCCGTGTGGGGGGCCAAATCCGTATTAATGGCCATGTGTGGGGCCAACTCCTTATTAGTGCCCATAGTTTTGGAATGGGGTTCCCAACAAGTTCATATAGGTTTGATGGTCAGGAGTCCACAGACATTGGGCCATATAGTGTATCTTATGGCTCCAGTACAGTACATAAATACCACTTCCATTGCCATAATAAGTAACTGTGGCATCTGTCCGAGAATATCTGTGCTAATTATTATTCTTTTCCTTAGTAGGTCTGATATTACATTCCCAGCATTTACCTTACCTAGGAGTTTGTAAAACAGGTTTAACCAGAACTGGTCATAATATCTGTATAACTTATAAAAACCTCCTAACAAAGCCTTCCTTCATGCTCAGTGAGCCATTCTAATTGTACCCACGGCTACAGTCACAATGAATACGCTAGAGCTCTTTCTTCACATTTTAAAATGAATAAAATCTGTATTAGCAAGACCATAACACAAAGATACCACCAGTGCTATCATGTGACCAGTTTACGTTAGATATACACGCAAACACATGTGAGCACTGTGCCACTGTGTACAACACCAGCTCCATAAAAGACATGGTGTGACCAGATTGGTGTGGAGGAACTCGAGTGTCCTGCGCAGAGCCCTGACCTCAACCCTACTGAACACCTTTGGGATGAGCTGGAACGTGGATTGTGAGCCAGATGTGCTCATCCAACATCAGTAATTGAAGAGGGTTTATTTAAAAGGACGCCGTGCATAAAGTGTATGATGAGCTTCCATTTCCAACAGCGATGTGAACACAACATCCATAGTTAACACCTGACCATCACAGCTTCCAATGTGGCCAAAAATATATGGACCCTCCTCCCAATGTGTTCAGGTGTCTCCAGTGAAGGTTTCGGTAATACTCCTTCATACAAAGACATTGTAGACAATTGTGTCTTCCAGCCTTGTGGTCACAGTTTGATGAAGGTCCTTTTCTGCTCCACCATGACTGTCCCCTGTGTACAAAGCCAGCTCCATAAAGACATGGTGTGACCAGCTTGGTGTGGAGGAACTCGGGTATCCTGCACAGAGCCCTGACCTCAACCCTACTGAACATGACTGTCCCCTGTGTACAAAGCCAGCTCCATAAAGACATGGTGTGACCAATTTGGTGGAGGAACTCGAGTGTCCTGCACAGAGCCCTGACCTGTGAACCAGATCTTCTCATCCAACATCAGTCCCTGACCTCACAAATGGGCACAAATTCCCACAGACCCCCTCCAAAATCTGGTGGAAAGTCTTCCTAGAACAGTGGAGGATCTTACAGCCACAGAGGAAGGCCAACTCCATATTAATGACCGTGGGGGGAACTCTTAAAATGGCCCTGGGGGTGCAACACCATATTAATGGCTTTTGGGGAGCCAGCTGGAGGTGCACCCATATTAATGGCCATGGAGGGGAGGTGCACCCATATTAATGACCATCAAGGGGAGGTGCACTCATATTAATGACCATCGAGGGGAGGTTCACCCATATTAATGGCCATCGAGGGGAAGGCAACTCCATGGTTTTGGAACTGGATGCCCAAGAAGCTCATATGGGTATGATGGCTGGGAGGCCAAAGACCTTTGACCATAAACTGTATCGCCTTCTGTCAATTATTCCCATAATGATTGTTCCCGATGGTTTCATTGTATCCCCAGTCAGCCCAGACTACAGTCTCTGTGTACACTTCCACACCCAAGTAAGGCTGGGTCAGAAACTCAGAGTCTATATGAAAGTCTACAGTCAGCTCTTTCTGTACAAACATTGAACGGGAGCTCACCCTGCAGGCAAGACGGAGCACTTCTGCGTCCATGTGTCTGACACCACAAAAACATGTTCCTGAGATGTGTAGAGCCTGGCGGGGAGAGTGGAGCCATTCTTTTTTTTTTTAAAGTAAACCGTCCTTTAAATGTTTCATCCACCGACCCGACCCCCCCTTCCCCAAAGACCAGCACTCTACTACTGAGCTCTGCACAGTTCTTCTACACTGTATGGCCTTTGTGGCAGAAAGTCCCAGCTGCATCCATCTCCTGCATCCAGAGAAATACAGACCAGCCATAGAAACAAATGGGCCTGGGAGTAAGCGGAGTCTAAGCTGGAGGTGGTCAGGACTTTGTCCTGGAAAGGCTGTGAGGGCAGGACCACAATGTGAAGATCTCTGGAACTTGAGGGGAGGTTGAGTATTTAGGTGGCTGCCACTCAGGGAGATGGGGGGAATTTAAATCTGACCTCCATCTTTCCCTTCAGTCTTCTATCTGACCTCCATCCTCCCCTTCAGTCTTCTATCTGACCTCCGTCCTCCCCTTCAGTCTTCTATCTGACCTCCGTCTTTCCCTTCAGCCTTCTATATGACCTCCGTTCTTCCCTTCAGTCTTCTATCTGACCTCTGTCCTTCCCTTCAGTCTTCTATCTGACCTCTGTCCTTCCCTTCAGTCTTCTATCTGACCTCCGTCTTTCCCTTCAGCCTTCTATATGACCTCCGTTCTTCCCTTCAGCCTTCTATATGACCTCCGTTCTTCCCTTCAGTCTTCTATCTGACCTCTGTCCTTCCCTTCAGTCTTCTATCTGACCTCCGTCCTCCCCTCCAGTCTTGCACAGTTATACCGGCTCCTCTCCTCTTTCTCTGATATCACTGCACACTGGGAGCTTCTCACAATGTGCATTAGAAGCTGCAACAAGTCAGATAGAGCCCGCCTCATTTCCTGGCTGGAGGACATCCAGCATCATCTAGGTCTTTCCTCCCCAGCCTGACTGGCCCCACCCCTTACATTAATTGGATTTCAGTTCTTTCAATCATGGAGAATCAATGTGACGTTACCTAGGGTGGTCTGCATGCCAATACACAGCCTGTGTAAGAACGCTCACGTCTCCAGCCTGACCACCACCCATGATATTTGCATAACTCCTCCCAAGAGCCCGCCCACTGCTTGCATCAGGAAAGCCAAATAGAAGAAAATAAAAATTCAGCTGTAAGGAATTTTGGGTCTGGTTCTTAAAGTTGCACACAGTCTACAGACTACCTGTGTATAGCAGAATATTGCTTTTCTGAGAAATGGCGGAGTAGCCCTAGGCTTAGGCAGCGCGGGGAAGATTCAGCTGCCGACAGGGTCCGGGGAAGCCTCCCTGTCTATAAGGGGGGTGCAATGTCCGGAGGTCCTTATAATCTGAGTTCCCTACTGCAAGAATTCAGATATAACACATACAGATATTGATGCCGATTCGATTAGGAGCTTCCTCTACTCAAACTCCATGTAGATAGAGTCCTCGGTGAGGACCTTAGTACTGCAAGGCAATCCAAAGCAAACCCACATACACACCGCCAGCAGAACACAAACTCCATGTAGATATAGTCCCTGGTGAGGACCTTAATACTGCAAGCCAATCCAAAGGAAACCCACACACAGCCAGCAGAACACAAACTCCATGTATATATTGTGCCTGGTGAGGAGCTTAGCACTGCAAGGCAATCCACCTTCCCAGGCTGTACTCCAGAGTCAGAGAGAAGAAACACTTTCACTCACCATCCAGTGAAGTCCGCAGACTCCATTTTCTCCGGCTGTCTTGTGCCTGTGCGGTGGGAGGTGAAGTCTGCAATCCTTTCCCTTCCTATCACTATATGAACTTACCTGTTCAGACTTGCCGGCCAGGTAACCAGAATCTCAGCAGAAAGTTGAAGGGGATTAGAATGGCAGAGAGATGATTTCGACAACTAGAGGGTGCAAATGGCAGCCAGACGGATGGGGGGGTCCAGGACAAGGGGCAGTACCTTTGCCTTGGTTGCATCTGTATTGTTCTGGACGGAAACTCTCCTGCCGCTGATGCTGCCGGCTTCACCAATATTTTTATGTTAAAGTGCAGCCAAACTTCTTCGTTTTGGGTGGAGTGGAGGAACATTTGAGCCTCTGTTGGGTTTTCCCTGCTACTCGAGGCTCTGGTGGAGAGATTTCCCCTCCTTCAGAACGTTCACGTTATGCGGTGCACCAACACACGTGCGTTGGCATGCGGTATTTGTACAAGTAACCAACCATTGTGTTCAGGCAGCCCGTTCCTAACGGAGCCTAACTGTCATGGTGGCAAGCGTTTTACCACACAGGAAGTAAAGACAAATCTCCTCCAGCAGTAGTCGCTGCACAAGTCACCAGACTGTAGCCTGAGTGCTCTAAGGACGAGCGAACGTGAGCATCTAAACGTTGATGGAGGCTCACTCAGGACTTGGCCACCGGGGCAATCTAGCGAGCCAAAAGTTTTGTTGTGTGTCTGACATTTCAGAGGGGCAAAGCCCACCTTGATCAAGGCTTTACAAAGCTGGTCTGGGGCTCAGCAAAAGGTTGGGCAGACAATACATTTTTTTTTCTCTTGCTAATTTGCTCCTGTGGGCAAGTCTTCAATTTACCTCCATCAACCATATGAAGCCACAATATATACACTATATGACCTAAACGTTCTGGACCCCCCTCCCAATGATGGGGTTCAGGTGTCTCCAGTGAAGGTTCTGGTAATACTCCATCATACAAAGACATTGTAGACAATTGTGCTCTTCCAGCCTTTAGCTCACAGTTTGGTGAAGACCCTTTTCTGTTCCCCCATGACTGTCCCCTGTGTACAAAGCCAGCTCCATAAAGACATGGTGTTACCAGTTTGGTGGAGGAACTTGAGCCCTGACCTCAAACCTACTGAACACCTTTGGGATGGATTGGAACATTAATTGTGAGCCAGGTCTTCTCACCTAACTTCAGTACCTGACCTCACAAATGGGCATACTGTACATTTCCAGTAGAATTCGGAGACATGGACATGGACACACAATGGAAGGCCTTTCAGTAGGAGTGTGGAGGATGTTATAGCCACAAGAGGGAGCAAGTGTATATTAATTCCCATGGAGGGGGGGGAGCAACTCCATATTCATGGCCATGAGGGGATAACTCCATATTAATGTCCATGGTTTTGGAATAAGATATCCAACAAGCTCCTATAGGTGTGATGTTATCTAGAGCCTTTGGCCATATAATGTATTGACGGATGAATGTGGGATGTAAGATAATCACAGGATTTCACGTAACCAGCACAGTGGGGCTGCCATGACACGTTCTCTCTATCTTACGTTACACACGGTTCTCACCTGGTGAAGTCCTCTTCTCCCAGCATGTGTCGAGGAACAGGAGAAAATCTAGATGGCGTGACTTGAGGGGGCTGGTAGGGGGATTTGCTCTCCACACTGCTCAGGTATCCACCCAGAGTGGAGTTATGGCTTATATGGTTATCAACAGTGAAAGCTGCAAAGTAAAGGACAGACAGATCCGGTGAGAGGAGAAATCTGCAGGAAGGGAACAAAAACGTTTAGACATGGAAAGCCTTTATCAGATATGTTTGGGTAGTGTGCACCATGCCTGGCTTCCTGACACAGTTTTCTATTTCTATGTGGACTTTCTTGGGACAAGAGCCTAAGGCACACAAGATGAAGGTGCCAAAGTCTCCCCCAGTCTACTGAATGGAGACATCTGCAGGTCTTGAGAAAGCCGCTGTCCCTAGGGCTACCACCTTCTGGTTTTGGTTCGAGTTTGGAGAAGATGGGTTATGCAGAGGGAGAAGAGGCTCCAACCCCAGCTGGTTCCACCACAGCACCCAAGGCATGAGGCTCGGCCTCAACCAATGCTTTTGTGACCACCTATCAGGCTAACTTCCAGAAACAGAAGAAACTATGAATCCCACATTGGGAGACCATTGTGCCTCATGAAGCCCCAAATCTAGGACTGGTCATGCTCAGCTTCTAAGAGGACCCTGGAACCGCGCAGGCTATACTCACTGCTGGCATAGTCAGGGGGAGCGTAGATCTCGTTGAGGTGAACTGGACCAGGCTTAGCTACTTTGAGATAAACCATATCAGACGTGTTCTTCAGAGCAGCCACAGCCTCCTCGTGTCGGACATCCTGTAGGTTGGTGTTATTTACCTGTAGAGAGGCGAACAAGAGACCATCAGAAAGGAACTAAATCTGCCTCCCGCCCCCCAAATCCCCAACAACGACGTCTAACACTCACTGCTAAGAGCCGGTCTCCAATCTGCAGCCTCCCGTCCTTCTGGGCTGCACCCCCCTCAATGATCTTGGTGATGTAGATGCTGTTGTCTCCCGGAATGTGTTGGTTCCCAATTCCTCCGGCAATACTGAATCCCAGCCCTGTAGAAGACATTGGAATTGGAATGAATGAGAGACCGCAAGGTGCGAACACGCGTAAAGCAATGCTGCCATTCCACCCTTAAAGGGGACTTGTCCTAAACAAACAAAAAAAGCTTCTGTCACCCTTTCTTCCAGAGTCTGGGAATATGAGTGTAACTAGGTGCTGAACTGTTGCTGCCACCCAGTGGCAACGTGATGCTATTTTTGCAGCATTAGCAGAGGGAGTTAAGCGATACTTAGAGTGTCCCATACCTATGTATTATGCACAATGTCCCATACTTCTGTATTATGCACAGTGTCCCATACTTCTGTATTATGTACAGTGTCCCATACCTCTGTATTATGCACAATGTCCCATACTTCTGTATTATGTACAGTGTCCCATACCTATGTATTATGCACAATGTCCCATACTT